CTATGCAGTTCCTACTATCTCTGATTCAGTACTCTTCGTAAATTTATTTTGATTATTTTAATTAAGATGGGATGAAAACTGTTCTGCACTACTGAAATACCACAGAATGCATGTATTCACCTAAGTCTCTGAGGCAAAGTGAATACAGTACTTCAGAGAGAAGACGGGAAGAATTTTGGCAAGAGTTTATGCAACTACACAAAGGTTTAGAAAACTGAAGCAGAAGTATTACATTACTCTGCAAGAAAATGCTAAGTTCATCTGCTTCTACACTCACAAGGAAATTCTTGATCCACAGATGGGATAAAGTAAAATCTCAGTCCAACAGCATGACTAATTGTGGTTTATATCACCAGTGACAGAATAAATACAATGGTGCTCAGGACTTGTAACTGCTCCCAAGACAAATGCAGAACTAAGATTATTGGTGAATCTCAGCAGTTGAACAAAACGTTAAGGAGGGAAATCCAACATATTTTGTCTCTCAATGATGATTTGGTCAAACAGACGACAAACAATTTTTTCATAAAGCTGAATGCTAGCTGTAGGTTCTGGCAGATACCTTAGACCAAGAGTCAAGATTGCTTGGTGCATTTATTATTCCTTTTGCGCAGCATTTTTTCACTGTCTACCTTTGAGATCGCCTGTACAACAGAGATTTTACAAAGAGCAATGTCTAGAATCCTGGAGTCATTTTCTATATGGATGATATTCTAGTGCATGGTAAAATGAAGAGGAACATGATCTGAGGTTTAGGAACATGTTAAAGCCATTACCGAAAGCCTTACAGGGAATGAGAAATGCTGATTCTTGAGAATAACAATTACACTTCCAGGTCTCCTTATCCAAGAATAAGGCATGGTGATTCCAAGGAAGACAACAGCCTTCAATAAACTACTGGCACTAAGGTGTGAAGATGAAGTACAGAACTTCATTGACACGGTAAATCAAGTGGGAAACTTTATCTTGAACCTATCCCTTGCACAACTCAAAAAAGAGCTTTTGAAAGAAGTCCAACAGTAATTTGATAACCATGGAAACAACCACATTCTACCAACTGGGTGAGGGAGAACATTATGGGCTTTGGTGTTTCTCCTGCTTATGGCCCCAAAAAGTCTTCACCAACAGACTTGTGACATCACAGCTATTGTGTTTCCAACATATATTCACATTTCAACCAGGTAGTTACTACTATTTTTACTGCATCTCAGATCTTAGTCCCAGATAGAAATGTAATAATTATCACAGCATTTATTACCAGACAGTCAACATGGCTTTGTGCATGGGAAATCATGTCTCACTAACTTAATTGAGTTTTTTTTTGAAGAAGTTATGAAGAGGATTGATGAGGTCAGAATGATGGATGTGATCTATATGGACTTCAGTAAGGCGTTCGACAAGGCTCCTCATGGTAGTCTGGTTAGCAAGGTTAGATCACATGGAATACAGGGAGAACTAGCCATTTGGATGCAGAACTGGCTCAAAGGTAGAAGACAGAGGGTGGTGGTGGAGGGTTGCTTTTCAGACTGGAGGCCTGTGACCAGCAGTGTGGCACAAACATCGGTGCTGGGTCCACTGATTTTTGTCATTTACATAAATGATTTGGACGTGAACACAGGAAGTATGGTTAGTAAGTTTGCAGATATTACTAAAATTGGTGACGAAGTGGACAGCAAAGAGTCCACTTAGTACAACAGAATCTTGATCAGATAGGCCAATGGGCCAAGGAATGGAAGATGGGGTTTAATTTAGATAAATGTGAGGTGCTGCATTTCAGAAAGGCAAATCAGGACAGGACTTATGCACTTAATGGTAAGGTCTTGGGTAGTGTTGCTGAACAAAGAGACCTTGGAGCACAGGTTCATAATTCCTTGAAAGTGGAGTCGTAGGTAGATAGGATAGTGAAAAAGGTGTTGGTATGCTTGCCTTTATTGGTCAGTGCATTCAGTATATGAGTTGGGAGGTCATGTGGCAAATGTACAGTACATTGGTTGGCCACTTTTGGAGTATTGCATGCAATTCTGGTCTCCCTGCTATAGGAAGGATGTTGTGAAACTAGAAAGGGGTCAGTAAAGATTAACAAGGATGTTGCCAGGGTTGGAGGGTTTGTGCTACAAGGAGAGGCTGAATAAGCTGGGGCTTTTTTCCCTGGAGCGTTGAAGGCTAAGCAGTGACCTTATAGAAGTTTATAAAATCATGAGGGTCATGGATAGGGTAAACAGACAAGAACTTTTCTCTGGGGTGGAGGAGTCCAAAACTAGAGGGCATAGGTTTAAGATGAGAGGGGAAAGATTTAAAAGGGACCGAGGGGCAATTTTTTTCATGCAGACGGTAGTGCGTGTATGGAATGAGCTGCCAAAGGAAGTGGAGGCTGGTACAATTACAACATCTAAAAGGCATCTGGATGGGTATATGCATGGGAAAGGTTTGGAGGGATATAGGCCAAATGCTGGCAAATGGGACTAGATTTATATAGGATATCTGGTCGGCTTGGACGAGTTGGACCGAAGGGTCTGTTTCCATGCTGATCAGGTCTATGGCTCTGTGACTCTATGATAGTAGAAAAGAAATCTGCAGCTGTGTTTATGCACTGCTGAACATTTTTCTGCACCATCATCAAACCATCTGTGTCATAAAAACACTCTTTTTTAATTCAAGAAAGCATTCTTCCCATTTTTAATTTCTTTTCTATTTTTTCAAAACACTTTTTATTATATCAAGAAGTCCTCCTACACAAAACTGAATGTTTCTATTCCCCATCACCAAATCACTATGACTTTTTTTTTGTTTTTAACTACTTACTGTAACCAGTAAATTACCCGTGTAGCCAATTAGATATTTACATGCAAAGCCTGGTGCAAACCATCAAAAGTGATGGAGAGTAGGAAGAGAGGGAAGGGGCTAAATCAAAACAGAGTAGGACGGGGAAATAATGCACTGTACCCCCTGCGGTGCTCACCTCTCTCGAAAGGCATCGAGAAATTTCGTGGGCACTGCATGCTCCAAAGAATTAAAGCCTTCTTAAATAGGTTTGTTAAAACAATAGATGCCACTATAAAGTAAATCATGGACTCAATTCCTGGCATCCAACTGCATTTCTGATTTTGAATTAGTTGTCTAGTAGCTATAACAGTCTAGAAGTGCTGTGCTCAAACCAGTATGACATTTTAATTGGATTATTTGAACTGCTTCTACTAAAGTTTACTTTTAAAGAGAATCACACAACTGGTAAAATGTGAATGCGAATACTATAGCTTTGAAAATTAAAACATGCAGTATCAATAAATAGTTCAGGTTTTAAATCATCACAAAAGCTAATCTCAATGACAGCAAAGACAATGCCAAAGCTTTGAAAATCAAAGGAAATGAAGCAAATCAATAGCGTTTACATCATTAGGGAACACATCATCCTTGTTTAACACTTTCAAAAAGGTGTGTACCAAACAAAAACATCAGAAGTTCTCTTGTCAATGTTAATTGTGAGTGAAAAATGAATTTCCTCTGTTGTAACAGGCACAGTCACCACAGAACAATGAGAATTTTGGTCATCGGTAGTTCATAATGTTAGTTCACAGTTACCTATACAACCTCATGCATTACAGACTAGCTCAGATTAAACACTTTAAGAAGGATATTAAAATAAGTCATGTTTAAGCTGTTATTGTGACATTTATTCAGAATTGAACTGGAATGAAGCATCACTGTTGAATCCAGTCATTTGTTAGCTCATTTCAATAATAGCATAATTATTTCTGTCAGGAATTGTTCTAAATCTATAAGAATAAAGACTTGATGTTATGTGCCCATTAGGTCACTTTAGCCTGCACAACATTAGTGAATTAATGGCAATACGATGCTGACAATCTGAATGCAATTATAATGATTTCATGTATCATTTTTAAATGGGTGAAGGCAGAATCTGTTGTCCAATTACTCATATTCACACAGAACACTAACTGTTTCTGATTGTCAGTGAGAATTACAGCAATAATCAAAAGAGGTTCTGAGATATTCAAGACGTGCCTATCATTACAAATTGAAGGGCAATTCAGAACGCTGCCAAGCTTTTTTTTTGAGAAGCCAACATAAACATCACTAATAAACTGACTGAACACGTGTCATCTAAATAATTACATAGTTCTACCTGCACACATGTGCAGCAGAAGTAAATTTTCTGCTAGCAATAAACATTTATATAAAGTCAATTGTTACACAGCTCACATGCAATCATTGAGGGGAACAATATTACATCACGTTGGTGGAATGTTATTGTTCATCCTAACCCTGTTCCAGAAAAATGCACCATTGCAAAACTAAAATTTCTCCTAAAATTTAATTCTTACCTGGATACTCATTCCCGTCAATGTCTGAGCCTCCTCTTAAGGTAAAGCCAAATCCAGGAGGCATGGACTCAGAGGGCCACAAACCTTCCAGGACCTGTGATGGCTTGGAATTTAACCCACCGCTGTGACCATTGTAAACCAGAACTTTGCCTCTCCTATCTTCACCCCCAAAAGGTACACCCACTGCAATATCTACATGAGGAGAAAGAAATAAAACAGCATTAATCATTTAAAAAGGCCAATTGAAGTTTTATTTCTCTGCATCTCTCTTTAAAAAAAAAGGGCACATGGCATCATATAACTCAGTGCAATCACCAGTCTGGTATAAATTAGCCCAATACTAATACTGTGCAAAAATATTACATAAATTATATTTCCACCAGGTCCCATCATAGGTCACACATACCTTTTATTACCAGAACTGAAGTTATATTTATTGCTATTTGTAGGTGATGAAATTAATTCTAGACGTAAAATAATGTTTGGTATATAGTCTGTCGACTTCCATGCTGTACATGTCTATAATTTAATGATAAGTTCATGAAGGTCATTGCGATTCCATATTATCACCTTCCTTGAATATGTTCTCACTTCCTAAATCTGTGCCCATCTCTCCCATTATGCTAGGTGTTAATCTCACCAAACAAGCTTTCACTTCTGCACATCGACTACTGAAAACCTCATATTGTGATTTTATCATCTGCAGACTCCACAATTCCAACTTGAACTTAGTATTTAATATTAAAATTATTAAACTTGAAAGATTGAAGAATTTCCACATCTTGTCCAACCTTCATCCTACTTTCCACAAACTTCAATCCATCAAAAAACTCTGCATGCTCTGTTTATGTTGCACCAATTAACACTCATTCATCATTCTTACAGGGTTACAACTACACAGGAGGTGCACAAAAGCAAGATCAATTTTAGATTTTAAATTACAGAAATCCATTCAGCACCCCAATAACAGCAGGGAAGAAACTGCTGTAAGACAGTATCATTGGGATCTTGACCCAAACTTGCATCCATCATACAAAATATGCATCCTTTGGTTTAAAGTCCTAGATGACCTTGATCCTATCTTTGTAACCTCCTCCAGTCTTATAAACCTTTATCATAAAAATACTGTTTTCAGTGATCTTATGTTCTGGACTTCCCAACCTAAACATCTTCACCAACTTCTTCTTCTTAAGATCTTCCTTAAAACCATGCGTTTTTAACCATATCTCCAAATACCACTCCCCCTCCCTGCCCCGCCATCCCGAACTCTGCCCCCCATTCTCTGGTTATATTTCTGTAAGATGCCTCACCAACTTTTACAGAAGCACCATAGAAAGCATTCTATCTGGGTGCACAATGGCTTGGTATGGCAACTGCTCTGCCCAGGACAGTAAGAAACTACAGAAGATTGTGTGCAAACTACAGTAGATTGTGTGCACAGCCCAGACCATCATGAATGCCAACCTCCCATCCATGGACTCCATCTACACTTGTCGTTGTTGCAGAAAGGCTGCCAACATCGTCATACACCCCTCTCATCCCACTAATACTCTCTTCCAACCTCTTCTGTCAGGCAGAAGATACAGAAGCTTAAACACAGGTACCAACAGGTTCAAGAACAGCTTCTTCCCTGCTGTTATCAGACTGCTGAATGGATCTCTCTAATTTTAAGTCTAATGTTGATCTTGCTTTTGCGCACCTCCTGTGTAGCTGTAACCCTGAATGCCTCGCTCTGTCTAAACACCCTATGATCTGTATGTCCTTGTATGTTATGATCTACCTGTACTATTTGTAAAGCAAAACTTTTCACTGTACTTAGGTACATGTGACAGTAATAAATCAAATCAAATCAATATCCTTCCATGTTAAAGACATTACATAAATAGAGATTGATTTTGTGCAGAAGTGCAGATTCTATTTCTTTCTTCTTTTTATTATATGAGGAATATTTGAGGACTGTTGGTCTATACTCAATGGAGTTTAGAAGAATGAAGGGGCATCTAATTGAAACTTACAGAATACCAAATGGCTTGGACAGAGTGGATGTTGGGAAGATGTTTCCATTGGCAGGAGAGACTAGGACTTGAGGGCACAGCCTTAGAGTAAAGAGAAGACCTTTTAGAACAGAGATAAAGAGAAACTTCTTTAGCCAGAGAGCGGTGAATCTATGGAATTCACTGCCACAGAAGGCTGTAGGGGCCAGGTCATTGAGTATATTTAAGACAGAGATGGGTAGGTTCTTGATTGTCAAGGGGATCAAGGGTTACGGGGAGAAAGTAGGAGAATGGGGTTGAGAAACTTACCAGCCATGACAGAATGATGGAATAGACTCGATGGGCTGTATGGCTTAACTTCTGCTCCTATGTCTTGTGGTCTTATAATTAGTGGCTGGAAATTATCAGAAGTTTATTTGGTTTTAAAGGCTCTTTAGTAATTTAAGAATCATGATCTTATTGCGGTCTTATAACTGCCCGCCTGCTGATTCCATCCAGCCTACAGCTTTGGAGGATATATAACATAACAGCTTGATTGCTACTGACAACAACAAAAACATTTTTTGCTCTGATTTTTATTTTGGTATTCTTGTTTTTTGAATGTACTAAACTGCTTCAGCACATAAGAACACATTTCGCTCTGGTTTGGGACAACATCTGGTCTATATGTGACAATTAAACAAAAAAAAAGGCAACTAATAAAGAAAAGGGTGTGAAAAGCCATAACAGGAAATGAAGTTCCAATTCTGAGCACATGCAACAAGGATCTCCAGAGGCCTAGAACAGACGGGAGGTGTAATATACTATCTAAATATGCTATGCACCAAACTGGTTCTAGCTTTACTTTCTCGAATACTGGCATAAAAAATGCCTTAAGATTGCAATGATAAAATTAAAATTGTGCACCAATTTCCTAAAGTTAGAGTTCGCTGCTTTGTAGATTGAGACTCTCAGTTTTTTACTGCCTTCCAGTCACCTTTTAGCTAGAAAAAACTATGTCCTGTAGATATCTGCTTGCACAGAGCATCCAAATACTGGTCAAATCATAACAAAACAAAAATCAACAGAACAGCCAGTTCTTTAAAAATGTAACCTTCATATTAAACTGTAGTTGGTATGAAGCCAAATGATTGTAAGATTACTTCCTCAAGGTCATCTAACACCGCCTGTCTAAATTTAATTTAGCTGACTGCATATCTGGACTACAGTGTAAACCTTTTCATGAAACAATGCCAAAAACAATTTGCATTAATGTAAACTGTGCAATACAACTGTTTTATTAAACAGTTCTCTTTCCTAGTTCCATGTTTGTTTTTCTCACAAATTTCATATTTGTTCACTCTTGTGATCATTTGTCTATTTTCAAAGACTCTTTCACATCTCTCATTGTTTAAAAAGTGTTTGACTTTTGTGAAACACACATCATATATGATTCTAAAAATTAAATTTTAGAAAGCAAACATAACCAGCATCAAGAGCATCTACTGCTCAGTCAGAAAAATTACCTCTTTAACAGAGCTGCTCTAAGAAACATTTAAACTACCTCCTCATAACATATTTCTTTACAGTAGTTGTAGATGATACTGAAAAATCATCATAATGCCTAAAATAATCTTGAAAATTGATATATACTATATGTTAATTTAATCTGTAAAATAAAGTACTGCTTCCTCCAACTTCTCTTTAAGGAAGATATCACATAAAGATATCACATTTGTTCAAATGGTATATAATTAATTGGCCATTCAGAAAGAACTAAGTACTTCTTACTGTTATATGCCAAGGATTATCTATAGCAGTTTACACACACCATAATATCCGTCTTGATTCACATCTGCCAAAGGTGCTACTGCACTTCCAAATCTTCCAAATACTTCCATTCCTAGTAGTTTCTGAGGGTCCTTGAAAAGGAACTCTTCCTCCTGCAGGTAAAGATAAATCAGCCCAACTTCCTTCAACTTTCCATCAGACTCCCGGTCCATGAAAAGTGGAGCACCGACTAACACATCATCCAATCTGTGAAACACATCATTTAAAAACACAAAAATGCAAGGGTTAGGAAACTTTATCTTCTGCCTTATTTTAGTTTCAAAACATTTGGTATAAGAATGAATAGTAATTACATTATGGCTACAAAAATAATGCATTCAAGACGTTAAAATGGATCTCAGTGGGATGAAAGTCAACATTTACCCATTTCGTACTTTAATCTAAACTTAAGGACTGAATTGTAAAGGAATATTTTTATTGCCAAAATCATAATGACAGTTTTTACTGTTTGAGAGAACACCATAAATTAAGAAAAGCCTATGATTATGGAAATAATTCTAATTTTATGTACAGAATGAGAAAATCACATCTTTTACACTAGTTATATGGAGTGGATAATCCTAGAAGGGGGTAATCAGTCAGATTACTATTCTGCTTGCATTTTTTTCCATTAGTCTGAGCTCCATATTTCTAGCTAGGAATTCCAATTTTGTGTGTGTGTGTGTGTGTGTATGTGTGTGTGTGTGTGACAGAGAGAGAGTGTGAATGAGTGTGTGAGTGAGTGAGAGTGTGTGTGTGAGTGCGTGAGTGAGAGTGTGTGTGTGAGTTCTTTTGAGCTTGTTCAGGGGGGGTTGAACCATCTTGGGTTGGGGGCTTCTGGTCAGGGCTGTGGTGGGCATCTGATATCCAGGACTCAGTGGGCACAAGGGTTAAAAGGGGCTGGAGGAGGTATGTTTGGGGTTGTGGATCTGAGGGCCAGCTTAACAGTTATCCAGGAGTTACAGTGGGCTTTTAATTGTCTAACCTTTCCTGGATAACTATTAGTTCTCCAAGTCACACAGAGAACTCTCCAGATTCTCTGTCTCAAATGGATTCTTCCAGAGGGCTCCAATGTGCTGAGGAGTTACCCATCACAATTTTCAATTTCCCAGGGAATTATCAGGGAGTTTTGCTACAGGGGATGGACAATGGGCTGGAGGGCTGAGTGGGACGTGTGGAAGCCCCTACGCTGATCTACTGCAGGCCCTTTATAGAAAGGCTGCAATGTTTATCTTTATTAACTTGAACTTAATTTCTTATTTTTCTAACTTACATAATGAATAATTAAGGTAATGTAACTTTTTTCCCTTATTTCTCTATTTTGTATGTAAGATTTGTACCTAGGTGCTTTGTACATAAGGTGGCACCATGTGGGATGGCATTGTAAACTTTTCACTGTACTGCTGTCCTTTTGTACTTGTGTACATGTGACAATAAAGCAAATTCTATTCTATTCTACTCAAGGGATTCCATCTGGTCCCAATGTATAATTCCAGACTGCACTGGTTCAATGACTAGCTGGTCATCAGAATATCTAGGGCCATCACCTTTTTGTGTAAGTTAAAAACACTGCAACACAGGATTAAACTAATTGGGCAAATAGTTCATTTGAAAGGCCTTGGAATAAGTTATCTAACAAAAGAAATGTTGAAAAATACATAAAAGGAAGTTTATGGGTGACTCATGGTCTTAACAGCACACTGTGGGCGGTAGAAACTTCTTGGTTTGATTTTCTTCCAGTTGTTTCTATCCACAGCTCATATTCTGAATTCAATACCCTTGTGCCAATTTTAAGGTCAGGGAGTGGAAGGCCATCCTGCTATCGGCCTCTTCAAACAGCAAGAGCTATGTGGAAGTAGGAAAATTGGATGGGGTGTGGCATCCAATCTCTCCTTCCTTCCTGAAGGAAGGTGGGGCACCAAATGTCAAATGCTGCTCAACATTTCCTTTTTAATGATTCAACCGGCATTTCAAAACTTGCATGTGGGAATCTTAGATGTGAACTTCTCCCTGTTCCATTCTGTTATAAACATGCAACCGATTGAACTGTGTTTTACTTCTTCTGTGGCAGTGCATATCTTCAGCCTTTCAAAAATTAGTAGAATTATTTGGAGTGCAAAGATATTATTAAGGGCAGAAATCGCACAACACCAGGTTATAATCCAACTGGTTTATTTGAAAATACAAGCTTTCGGAGCATAGCCCCTTCATCAGGTGAGGTGAGAAAGAAGCACACGGAACACAGAATTTATAAGTAAAAGATCGAAGGGTCACACAACTGATGAGGATGTTTATTAAATCAAGAGATGCACATATTTAACATGCCAGGCTGAGGTAAGGACAAACAATAATTTTCATTTATACAGTATCCTTAACGTAAAGAAATGTTTCGTGTCACTTCATAGTATGTATATGAGAAACCAGATGTTGACACAGGAAAAGAGAGAGATAGAAAAGGGGGCAGTGGAGGTGACTAAATGTTTGGTTAAATCATTTTAAAGACACCACCTCATATTTAAACGGCTGGCATTCTCTCTAACTGTGCCACTGCACATACATCTCACCAAGGCTCATAGACAACAACAACAACCACAAAAGCAGAAGTTGCTGGAAAAGCTCAGCAGGTCTAGCAGCATCTCTGAAGAGAAGTCAGAGTTAACATTTCAGATCCGATGACCCTTCATCAGAGCTGATGGTAGCTAGGAAAATGTTGGTTTATATGCAGAAGAGAGGGTGGGGGGAGGGGGTAAGGAGTAAACAATACGTAGGGATAGAGCCCAAAGAGAGAGAACAGATGGACAGACAAAGGAGTTGATAACAGTCTGGCTAGGAGGTTGAATAGCTGTTAATGGGGACTGTTAATGACTAACAATAGTTAGTGTGTAATGGCAGACTGTGATAACAAAGCCTGGTGTGTAGGGCAGGGGGCTCAGACATGGGAGAGTTCAGGCCCTAAGATTGTTGCAGTCGATATTGAGTCCAGAGAGCTTCAGGGTTTCCAAACGGAAAATGAGGTGTGGCTCTTCTAGCTTGCGCTGAGCTTCACTGGAGCACTGCAGTCAGCCTGAGGCAGATGTTAGAACAGGGTGGTGTATTAAAGTGACAGGCAACTGGATTTACTGCATCCGCAGTTCTTTCAGTTTTCATGGACACCAACCCTCAGTATTGCGTGCATCATGTCCACTTAATTGCTCAGACCACCCCACCCTCACAAACTAATAGTACTCTGCTTGTCCTCTGCACTTCCTCTCATTCACTGAGCACATCTCACCGCCTCTCCTGCATCACCACTGGCCTGTCTCCTGCAGTCTAACAGAATGATCCCCCTGACTGACAGTGGCACTTTTCCTCTGACTGACTGACTCCTCACTCCACTAAGACCTTTTCCCCTTTAACTTTCACCATTGTTATTTGCTCACAGTGGGCTTTATCATGCTGCAGCTGTGACACTGACACAGCACAATGCCTTGCAGTGACATATCCACTCCCTTTCCGACTGACAGCTTGAATGTTCAGTGCTCTCCACTATCACAAGCTGTCTGCCTTGCCCTCTGTGTTAAGAAAACAAGATAAACTGCTGAGACTGGTCATAGGGGAACTAATTGCTAAAATCAATGTGTGCCCAGAAAAGGATATGAAGCAGACATCGGCTGGCAGCCTCCAAGTTAAGTGCCAAAGTGAGCAAACAATAAGAAAGCAAAATAAGAGGGACTAGATGCGTGTGTCCATAGCAGTTCAAAAGCATGCTGTTCAGGTTTACGAGGTTGAGGGGGGACCTGATAGAGGTCAAGATTATGAAGGGCATGGACTGACTGGACAGTCAGAAGCTTTTTCCCAGGGTAGAAGAGTCAGTTACCAGGGGCCATGGGTTTAGGTGCGAGAGGCCAGGTTTAAAGGTGATGAATGAGGCAAGTTTTTGTTTTACACAGAGGGTGGTGGGTGCCTGGAAGTCGCTGCCGGGGGAGGTAGTGGAAGCTGATACAATAGTGACTTTGAAAGGGTGTCTTGACAAATACATGATTAGGATGGGAATAGAGGGATACGGTCCCTGGAAGCATAGGGGGTTTTAGTTGTGACGGGCAGCATGTCGGTGCAGGCTTCGAGGGCCGAAGGGCCTGTTCCTGTACTGTAATTTTCTTTGTTCTTGTTCTTTGCAATATTTGTGACTGTCCCAGCCTGCAAAAGAACTTGTCAGAAGTATGTAAGCTGTAGGTATGTCTGTCCACTCAAAGTAAGGTGTTAAAGAGCTGATATAGTGACTGAGTTGGTGCGAAGACACAATGTGGTGGGACTGATGGTTTGCTGAAGCAGAGTTGAGTGGAAGAAGGTTGAGGAGGATGGTGACCATGAAGCACACAGACATTGTCAAAAGAAGCAGTTGCAGGATGACTGGGACAGGTGCTCAGTGAGCTACCTCTTATCTCTCCAAAAATTGCTCCCGCTAGTTTCTCAGTGGTGAAAACGAGAATTGGAAATGGAATGCATGTAGGGCTTAGTGAAATGCAAATGCATGAAAATAACAGTCACTGTTCGCTACTCAAGGATGAGATTCTGAAGTTGCTGAAGGCTTAAATTTATCTCAATATGAAAGATCAGACTTCACCCTATTTTGTCACCATGCTCACTATTATTCTTGTCACATCAGGGAGGGGAAACTTCAGTCTACTATCTTAAATTGAGAACTAAAGTATTAAGCTGAGAAGCCAAGAAGCACTTCATCTTACACTAAGTAGTGTAAATATGGAACTGTTATTCAAAATTTGGAGGTCACTGCATCAAGTATATTGTTCAAGACAAAGATCAATTGGGTAATGGCAACAAGAATACACAGCAAAGGCAGAGCAAAGAAGTCGAGATTTGAATCAACCTTGATGTAACACGCAGGTTTTAATGTATATAACCAATAGGTGGAGCCAAGGATGGAATCTTCGATATGAGGTCTCATTAGATAAACTGGGAGTTTTTCACTGGGTTAACAGTAAAGGTTAAGAGAAGTCCTAATAAAGAAATTCAAAATTACAAGGGATTTTGATAAAAAGGTAACCAAACTATATTCACTAGGTTGTCAGTGTGGATCTCCAATTTTAACTAGAAGTTAACATTTTCACCAGAGATCAGAAGATCATCAGATATTTTTCACGTGGAGGATTGTTATGAAATGCATTAAATGCCACCTCATAGTTCAACACTCATCTCTGATATTTGTTGCTGTATTCATAAAGTTGCTAGACTCACCCGTCATTGTTTATATCAGAGACAGCCACGGTATATCCAAAATAGGAAGCCATCTGTGAATTAAAAATGGGAAACAAATTACTGGAGTCATTTTTTATTTATTCATTCATGGGATGTGGCCACTGCTGGCTAGGCCAGTGTTTAATGCCTATCCCTAACTGCCTAGAGGGCAGTTAAGAGAGTCAATGACATTGCTGTGGGTCTGGAGTCACAGGTAGGCCAGACCAGGTAAAAATGGCAGATTTCCTTCCCTAAAGAACATTAGTGAATCAGATGGGTTTTTCTAAGAATCGACAATGGGTTCATGGTTATTATTAGACTCATTTCAAGACTTTTATTGAATTCAAATTCCTTCATCTGCCATGAAGGGATTTGAACTCAGGTCCTCTGAATATTACCTGGGTCTCTGGATTAACAGTCCAGCAATAGAACCACTTAAGGCTGTTGCCTCCCCAGATGAATCATCTTGAATCATGATTAACCACTTTAAGTAACATAATATTTCATGTGTCTGCTGAACACTGTTTTGGAAGGTGATAGTTAAAGCCTAATGAAATCTATATCTTCATTATTTCCTCTATACACCCTGAAATTTGTTTCACAGGTTGAACAAATCCACCAAGGTAAAAATGCAAAGTAAAGTCCATTTAGGATAATTTCACCTAAAGATTGTTCTTTTCAGATGATCTACCACTGATTACCACTAATTGTCTAAAACTGTGAGAAATTGGTAGCCTCCAAGAGAGAACAAAGTCACACTTGGCACTGAGTAAACTATACATTCCACCTGTAATTCTCATTGGTAGTACACAACTAGCTACAGTAGGTCTGAGCCGATAGGGCAAGCTACAGTACATCAGTTCAGTTAAATGGAAGCATAAGATACCAATATTTGTAACATTAAGAAAGTACAAACTACCATAAAGAAGCCAAAGTCATCATGTGAGTGTTTAGACTCACATACAAAGCATTACTACATCATTTAGTGGTATATCTACTCAGCACAGGTATATTAGACAGCAACTGTGAAAGAATTTGAAAAATTCCACAAGTAACACTGAAATTGATATAAGGTTTCAAATAGCAAGAAAACATCACAAAGCAGTGTTTAGAAGCAATGTTTAGAAATGAAATTTGGTGGCAGGGCAATGGCCAAACTACTCTGATAGTTAAACCAAAACACAATCCCCAATCTGCAATGATGGGATTACAGGTTCCTTTCTAATAATTAGCCCTGAAACACCCAGAGAAGCTCACCTTTCCCCTTGTAATCTGTTAAAAGAGTGGTTAAAAGAAAAGAAAATCCCTTTACAAGTAACAAGAAATAATTTATTTATTTAACCCAACAATGAACAAATTAACAGAATTACTAACAAACTGACAATTCCCCTCTTAGACCACTAGCTACTTCCTATCTGGTCTAAATTCTACTGGAGTACTGCTCAAATAAACACAAGTCCAACTTAATAAACCCAATTAATAAGAAAACAACAAATTAAAACTTAATCTCTCCAAATTCACACAAACTATCATTTGGAATCTTCACAGACACCTTTCTTCCACCAATTCCGCTGTCAGGGATGTTTTATCTCTGTAATTTCTTCAAGGAGGACTTTCAGTTAAAATACCATGGTACCTTTGATTAATTAGATGGGCTTTCTCTGGGAGTTGAATGGTGCTGACTATCGCAGGTGATGGATGATTCTCCCCCAATGTTCCAAATGCCCTCATCTTATATACCCATAATGACATTATCAAATTCTTACAATATGATTGGTTTCAAGTTGTCAACACCATCAGATTTAAATTCAATTGGCTTTCTGTATCTAGGTGCTTGGTTTAAATTAATTGGCCAAATTCAAACTTATTGTCTTAGAAAAAGTGCTGCTTGGCTTTTCTGTAGAAAATATTTCCACTTGGGCACTCACTGTGCACCTGCATTTATAAACTTCCAACACAGACAAAGCACAAGGGCCCACAGCACTCTTTTCCCCACGATCACTTTTACCAACAAATTCAAACTTCCTGCCTTCTAATTCATGAATACTCTACTCAACTTCGTAACAACGTGGGACATGAATAAATTCTCCGGAGAGGCTTTAGAAGCTACTAAGCTAATTGTGTCTTTTGTGGGCAAAAGAAGTGTTGTCAAAGTCATGTGCAAACCTACCTCAAAGTACGGAATCTCCACATGATGTGACACTAGATAGATATGATGGCATATTACACATATGCCTTTAAAATAATAATACTGTTTCCAAAGTTGAAAACAAAATAAAAGTCAAAACCACACAATGCAAGGAAACCTGGACATACCAGACTAATGTTTGGTCAAGTTCAACGTGAGTGAGAAAATCTACTATTTTTACTAATGTCTTGAACAGTTTTAGTTCTTAATATGCATTATTCTACCTTTTGTTACTGGGTCAAGATTTTAGCAGTGATTTTGTTGTTTTTACTAATAACAACATCACCTGAACTTGCAAAATATTTGAAAACTATTATTTGGTAAGAAAATATGGTTTTGTCAGCTCTCTGGGCTTCTTAAAATGAGCAGGTATAACAAAATCTTACCTGTTCGCCAGTAAAATTCAAGATGAATGTCATATCTGTCGCATTTATGATGGCAACCTACGAAAACAAAAGTATGTTTACATTGGCCTTGATTCCTGACAACACAATCACATGGCGAATGAAATGTTGATGAAAAAGATATGAACCATCAGTTTTAAAAATATCCAGTCAAGTATGGCAGGTCAACTCATTGCCAACAACATATTGTGCCACTGACTGCTTAGGGCTCACTACTTACACTATTCAATACTGCAGTGGCTTTGACCAAGAGAGAAGGAGCGGGAGACAAAATAACAACACGAGATTCAATTTTCAACTTCTGCCCAGAATAAAAGCATATTTGGTGGACTGCACACTGATTGTCTGAAGCAATCTTGGGAGGCCCATCCAGCTTTCACATTCCAACCTTTGAGTATGTCAGCTGAGCTGCAGGCATCACACAGATGTTCCATTGCAGTTAGCCTCCTCAGGAAGGGTGAGAGGTCAGATGATTCCCATGTTGAACCAATTGTCCCTGAAGGGAGAGAGACAATTCTGGGAGAGGTTGAACATGGGCCAGCAGCCTGAAATCAGGAAGAGCATTTCTTCCCGTGACCCCACAAAGCAGCAAAGTGATGAAGGCAGCTTTAAGGGAACTTCTTACAACACTCAGAGCTTGGTACAAATAGGCACCAAATGCATCAAACTTTAATTTGCATATTTGAAAAGCTGTTACCCGTAAAAGGGAAGTGTGCTGTTTCAACATTTACTTGGTAGGACTAGAAAGTTGTATGAATCCATTTTTCAGATAGTCATTGAAATTTATCCCCATTTTGACTTGTTTTTCACAGAATCACAGAATTGTCATGGCACTCAATGAGGCTGTCCAAACCATTGTGCTTTCACTGCCTCTTCAAAAGAGCATCATTACCTAATTCCAATCTCCTGCTTTATTCCTACATCCTTGCTCACCATTTCTATCCAAATAAGCATTCAATACAACCTTTGAAATTATCCCCAGCATGCTAAGATCCATTAATGTACGTCAGGAAAAGCATGGGTCCCCATGCAGATCCCTTGGAAACTCTATTAAAAACCTTCCCCCGGCCCAAAAAAAATCCATTGATCATTAGCCTCTGTTTGCAATCATGCATCCAATTTTGTATCCACATTGGTACTGTTGCTAAGGAGAAAGTAGTGGTGTAGTACAATTGTTTCATAGCATATACTGTTTCATAGAATCCCTACAGTGTGGAAACAGGCCCTTCGGCCCAACAAGACCACACCGACCCTCACAGCATCCCACCCAGACCCATCCCCCTACAACCCACCTAATCTACACATCCCTGAAAACTACAGGCAAGTTAGCATGGCCAATCCACCTAGCCTGCACATCTTTGGACTGTGGGAGGAAACCAGAGCACCCGGAGAAAACCCACGCAGACACGGGGAGAACGTGCAAACTCCACACAGACAGTTGCCCGAGGCTGGAATCGAACCCGGGTCCCTGGGTGACATTCAAAAATAGAAGAAAAGAAATGAAATATAGCATTTCAAGAATGCATGCTTATTTAGGATAGGACGAGAGAAAGACATGAAGACAAAACGAAACAGCAAGATCCATTTGAAAACAAGACTAAAGAAAATAATGTTATTACATACATATCCAAATGCTTCAGCACCCCTTGGAATTCCAGCAACAAATTCTAATCAAAGATAAAAGACAGGAAAATTAAGTTTTTCGAATGTAATTTTACTAGGTTAGGTAGAGATTAAAAGACTCTTGTTTTAAAGAGGAGGAAATGTCTAATAAATACATAATAAATGAGCACATGTTTTTGCTGATCAATTAAGCTACTTACCTTGTTGAGAGTCTCCTGTGAATTCCCCCACAGCAACTGAGTATCCTATTGAGAAAATTAAGTACCAACATATGGTCAACTTGTAATAAATACTGCATCAAAAGCACATTTTTCATATGGAAACATAAATGCCCCAAATTACCACGAGGTGCAATCCTGGCAGTTCCACTAACCAGTTTATTTCACAGCTAGCACTGACGATAATCTGCAGGAATCCCCCACTATTAACAACCTGGGGGTTACTATTGACCACAAACTGAAATAGACTACTCATATAAATATAGTGGCTACAAGAGGGGAGGGAATGGCCTACTGGTATTATTGCTGGACTATTAATCCAGAGACCCAGATAATGTCTTGGGACCTGGGTTCAAATCCCACCATGGTAGATGGTGGAATTTGAATTCAATAAATATCAGGAATTAAGAATCTAATGATGACTGTGAATCCATTGTTGATTGTTATAAAAACCCATCTGGTTCACTAGTGCCTTTTAGGGAAGGAAACTGCCATCCTTACCTGGTCTGGCCTACAAGTAATTCCAGACCCACAGCAATGTGGTTGACTCTGGGCAATTAGGGATGGGCAATAAATGCTGCCTAGCCAGCGACGCCCTCATCCCGTGAATGAATAAAGGAAAAAAAAGAATAATGAGCAGGGCAGAGGCTAGAAATCTTGTAGCCAGTAATTCATCTCCTGACTTTTCAAAGTCAGGAACGTGATGGAATATTCCTCACTTGCTTGGATAATTGCAGCTCCAACAACAGCTGAGAAACTTGACACTATCCAAGACAAACCGACATGCCTGATTGGCTCCCAGCCACAAACATTTACTCCCTTCACCTCTAGAAGCAGCAGTGCATACCATCTGTAAGATGCATTACAGAAATTCACGAAGTCTCCTCAGACAGCACCTTCCAAAATGACAATCACTATCGTCTAGAAGGATAACAGCAGCAGTTACATGGGAACACCACCAACTGCAAGTTTCCATGCAAGCTGCTCACTATCCTGACATGGAAATATATCATTATTCCTTCAGTGTTACTGGGTCAAAATCCTGGAACTCCCACTCTACCAGCATTGTGGGTCTACCCACAGCACACAGACTGCAGAGGTTCAAGGAGGCAGCTCAGCACCACCTCCTCAAGGGCGACTAGGGATGGGCCATAAGTGCTGGCCAGCCAATGACACTCACGTCCCATAAGTGAATGAAAAGAATTCAGGGGGATTGCACCTAAGTGCGATTCACTAATGGTAACCCTCAACATTTCAAGCACATTCCAGGCACTCCTCAAAATCATACGGACTGGTGCCTGCTACCATCCGAGGGTGCAAAGGAGTGGCTCCTGCATGTATGTTTTGGTTGGACAACAGTTTCAACCAAACAAGACTCCCTAGAAATTACCGGTAAAGTTCCAGGCACTAAAGTATCCAGCCAATTTCCCCAAATGCCAATGAATTTTGGCCAGAGATATGACAGAAGTCCACTGGAAGGCATACACGTTTTTTCAGCATGCATGTTTTAATATTCTGAGAAGCAACTGATTTTACCTTTATTCTTTTCATTAAACATGCTTTTTCAAAAAATACTATGATTTCTATTTTGTTCCACTTCACCGCTAGAGCCAGTGAGTTACTTTTTGTGCTCATAACACTGGCAACTCTTTTCCCTTTCTGCCTTTTTCTTTACTTCTCCCTTCAAAACCCAAGAAGTAATTAAATGTTTATCACTTGCATTCTTTTACTGGAGAGAAACAGATTTTTATGTAGAATATATCATTCAGCATCCACTGTATTTCTAAAATCTCCGTATTAAAATGATACACCAGATGCATGTGTTTTGGAAGGCCATATATTGTAAACTATATTTATTTCCACAAATCTAAATCTACACAGTTTGACAGATCTATTTTGTGCAACATGCAAATTTAGTAGTTTGAGTAAATAAACATAATGTAATGTTTGTGCTCCAATCTGTTAACTTTCCCCTATATAATACTGTCCTTTTTTATTTAATAAGCATGAGGAGATGGATGTCTAGACAAGTTTATAAACCTTCAGATTAAAATTCTGCTTCAGTAGATTTAATTAGAAACTTAGGGCTATGCCTTCTTCTGTTCGTACAACCTGATAATCCTTCTTTTGTAGATTTTAATGACTGGCAATCCAGATGGTCTGTGAAATCAATTTTGTCCATGCAATTTTAATAACAATTAAAGAAACCCAGCCAAATACCTTGTATAGCTTTCAAATCTCTTTAAAAATAAACACGCCACAAACACTAGGAACAATGAACATCTTGTTATGCCAGCTGATAAACAAAAACACAGCAGGAATTCTATGGATGTACAAAATCTGAAATAAATTGGCCCCATATCTCAGGAAGGATATACTGGCCCTGGAGTGGGCTCAGAGGAGGTTCACGAAAATGGTCCCAGGAATGAAAGCTTAACAATTGAAAAACATTTGAGGACTCTGGATCTATTTTCGATGGAGTTTAGAAGGATGAGGGGGGATCTAATTGAAACCTACAGAATACTGAATGGGCTGGACAGAGTGGAAGTTGTGATGATGTTTCCATTGGTAGGACAGACTAGGACCCGAGGGCACAGCCTTAGAGTAAAGAGAAGACCTGCTAGATTGGAGATAAGGTGAAACTTCTTTAGCCAGAGAGTGGCGAATCTATGGAATTCACTGCCACAGAAGGCTGTGGAGGTCAGGTCATTGAGCATATTTAAGGCAGAGATGGATAGGTTCTCGATTGTCAAGGGGATCAAGGGTTACGGGAAAAAAGCAGAATGGAGTTGAGAAACTTATCAATGACTGATTGGCGGAGCAGACTCGATGGGCTGATTGGCCTGATTCCTGCTCCTATGTCTTATGGTCTTAAAAATGCAAATATAGAACAGACAAAGCAGCATCTATAGGGAGGGAGTTTAGGCAGATTACAGATTTGCACAATCCATAAAGGATTAAGTGACTGCCCTTTTCAGTACCAGAGGAGACCAGATACGCGAGAAATTGAGTCAATGCCATGATTTCCAGATTGAAACAACTCATGTTGTAAAAAATGCTTCCTTGTGTTAACTCTGATTTTTTTACCACTCACCTTCAATCTCTGCCTTTTGGTTCCCATCTCTTCTGCCACTGGAATCAGTTTCCCTTCACTTACGCAAATCAAAACAACTTTGGATTTTGTACATTTTAAGCAAATGAGCTCTTAAGCTTCTCTATTCCAAGGAAAACAACACCAGCTTCTGAATGTAAATTAAAACTCCCAACCCTGGGAGCATTCTATTAAAGCTGTTCCGCACCCTTACCAAGGCCTGTATACCCTTCTCAGAATATATTGTCCCAAACTGAGCAAAATACCAGACAAAAGGCTTAGTTAGTATTTTACAAGTATTCAGATAACTTGCTGGCTTCTACACTCTGTTAAGTGAGCCATGGACCCCATGCTTTTTTTAAAAAATAACCTTCTCTTTACATGGCCTTGGTGAGACCATACCTGGAGTACTGTCCACTGTTCTGGTCCCTTTACCTAGGAAAAGATATTCCATTGAGGGAGTGCAGCAAAGGTTACCAACTGATTCCTGGGATGGAAAGTTTGTTGTGTGAAATGAGGTTGGGTTGATTGGGCCTATATTCACTTCAGTGTAGAAGAATGAGCGGGGAGCTCATTGAAACATAACATTTTGACACGTCTAGACATACAGGATGCAGGAGTGATGTTAACCCTAACCAAGGGGATAGAAAATTGAGTCATAATTTCAGGCCATTTTTGACTAAGACGTGAAGTTTCTTCACTTAGGGAGCTGTGAACCGGTGGATTTTTTTTTACAATATAAGGTTGTGGTGATGAAATTACTAAATATATTTAAGAAAAAGATAGATTTCTGGATATTAAAGGTGTCAAGGGCTATGGAGAGATGGTGGAAGTATGGCATTGTCAGCCATGTTGAACAGTAGAATAGATGCAATGGGCTAACTTGCTTACCACAGCTCCTATTTTTTGCGTTTCAAATTATCTTGTCACCTTTAAATACTTATACATGTGTATCCCCATATCAATGTGTATGACTACTCCATGACTACTCCTTTAAAATTGCACCATTTAGTTCAACTTACTCTTACTCATTTTTCTTAACTATATATCACTTCACACTTTTCTGCATTAAATCTCATCCTTCATATGCTTGCCCATTCCAAGTATTTGTCTATACCTTTGTAGCCTGTTACTATTTTCCTAGTTATTCATATTTCCAGGTTTCAGATCATCTGCAAATTTCAAAATAATACTCTGCACACCCAGGTCCTAGTCCGTAATTTACAAAAAAATGAGCAGTGATCCTAATACTAATTCAAGAGAACATTGATGTTTATTTCCTACCAATCTGAAAAACAATCTCCACAACTGACTGTCTTCTGTCCTTCTGCCAATCTTGGATCCATGCTTCCATTGCCGCTTTAAATGTACAGACTTTAATTTTCCTTTCATTATGTGGTGCTTTGACAAATGATAAATGAAAGTTCACATGTACAAAACCAACTACAACATCTTTTTGAATCCTGTCCACGAATTCAAAGGATCAAGTAAGTCTACCAAATCTGCGCTTTCATTTATTAGCCCATAGACTTCCAAATTCCTGGATTTGCATCTTTATAAGTTTTCTCACTGCTGACTGTAGTTGCTGGATTTTGTCCTCGACCTCTTTCCAAACAGGACTGTAGCATTTGCAAGACAACAAGGTGCAGGGCTGGATGAACACAGCAGGCCAAGCAGCATCATAGGAGCAGAGAGGCTGACGTTTCGGGCCGAGACCCTTCATCAGAAAAGGGGGAGGGGAAGGGGGTTCCGAAATAAATAGGGAGAGAGTGGGAGGCGGATAGACGAGGGATAGAGGAGAGGATAGGTGGAGAGGAAACAAACAGGTCGAAGAGGCGGGGATGGAGCCAGTAAAGGTGAGTGTAGGTAGGGAGTTAGGAAGGGGATAGGTCAGTCCAGGGAGGACGGACAGGTCAAGGGGGCGGGATGAGGTTGG